TGAGCGTTGTCGTGGATAAATTTTGTCGACGTCGTTTCGACACTTTGAAGACGCAGTGCTGGATCCATGCGGTTCAATTGGTGTTTGCAGATGTCCGCCGTAACCGTCTGACCCGATTCCGGAACTTCAAAGTACATCAAACCTTTGCTATTCCACCAAACACGGAGCATCACCTTTTTGCCGCGTATATCAGGTTTCGGAGTCCGTTTTGGAGGGTCACTGGAGTCTAACCACTGTCCTTTTCTCGTTGCGTTATCGAAGCAGACCCTTTTCTCATTTGATGTAATAATAGAGTCGAAAAAACCGCTGTTCTTGGAGCGACGAAGAAGAATTCCGGCCATTGCCACTCGTGTTGCCTTGTTTGCGTCGCTCAGCTGGTGCGGCACCCACTCTTCCCAACTTTTTTCTTTAAAAAAACAAAGTAGACATGGACAAAAATATATCAAAAGATGCACAATTTCTTTTTAATAGAAAGTTTCTCTTTCTAAAGACAAATCTGTTTTGAAAAATCTTCTATAGTAGGAGAGAAACAAATGGATAAATTCAACGCGCTTCAACGCGCATTTCTTTCCGAACAACATAATATTTTATTTGAGGCCACCCTGGATCAATATTATGGAAGGGCAATGAAAATGTTATAAATCAGACGGGTTTTAGAACAGACCTGCGTATCCTCAGGCGAACTCTTCCCATCTGCTCGACGAATTCCTGGATAAAGCGTCCGAAACAGTTTACCTAGGGCTTCGGCTTGCAAATTACCTGAAAAGGGGTTACAACTGAAGGCATTTTCCAGTGTTATACGAGATGTTTCCATTATCTATCAACAAAAAGACACCCTCAGTACGCTATGACTGAATAAACATGGTGGTCTCTACGAAGCGTATAACTTGGAAGAAAACCCGCTTTCTTGTCAACTGTTCAAAAATTCAAAATCAAGCCTCAATACAAGAGTCTACTGAAGAATTAATTCCTATTTCTCTTCGCTCTTCACCACGATCAATCAATATTTCCTCACCGGCTGTCGTCAGTTCTCCTCCCCATTTGAGTATGAGTAACAGCGCCGGTCCTTGCTGTTGTGCCTCTTCGCTGTCAACCGAGCGGAGTTCACGAGCCTGAGTGACGTGAAATCAGGAACATTCTACAGGGTCAGAGCTTTAGGCAGCGTTCAGACTTCGCGATGGTAGCGCCTCGGTCGCGCGTTCGACGCGATCGGTGCGGTTACAAGGCATCTGTCAACCGGATGCTCTCTCGCTGCGAGGGTCCAGAGTGTTTTCTCATCGCATCTTCTGTTCAAGCATTTAGAGGAAAGGAAATAAGGAAGAGGGGTATCAGAAGGAAGGAAGAAAAAGAAGGAAGGAGGAAGGAAAGAGGAAGAAGAAGGAAGGCTTCGCGGTTGACAGATATCCTGAGACCGATCGGTGCAGTCGAAAGCATGGGCACCAATCGCGTCGGACGCGCGGAGACGCTGCCGTCGCAAAGTCTAAACGCTGCCTTAGCGCTCGCACGGCTGCACTAAGATTAGTTCAGAACGTCCGAGTCACGACACAGCAAACTAGCACAAATTTTTCTAATTAGTTGACTTGAGATAGTTCAGCATTGCCACACTGGACTCTGAACCTCTTTCACAGCCTTCGCTGCAACTCGGACGTGTTAAACTACACCCTTTGGATTCGGATAAGCACGAATAAGTTCAAGCATGAGACATTTATCATGCCTCCGTGAAGGTCTTGACGGCCATTCTTCATCTCACCGCTAAATCACTGCTAGGATTTGCTCGCGCTCATCTGAATCCGCTTGAATTTATAACTACCTCAATACTTCTCTACCCACGAACCTTCAGATATTTCAGCTGCACTTTACGATTTATGCCTGAGAAGTGGCCATACCTGCAATGGTCAAACCTCTATTACAGTCTCGTTCACTATGGATGATGGGCGTGTCAGCATGGCTGCATCTGGCGCGCCGCGAGCCCTTTCTCAGTTGCTGAGGCGAGTAGGTGACAGCAGCCGGTGTAAAACGACTGACACGAAGGAAACGATGCAGCCTTGTCTGTAGCCAAAGAAAAAAAAATAAAAAGCGGGCCGGCTCCAGACCAAACGCAGCCGCGCAGACACGCCCCATCATCCACAGCGAACAAGACTACAATCAATTTCTCAGATTCATCACTTTCTCTCTGGGCACACTCACACATTTCCTACACTAATTCAATTTGACAAACAATTCTCTTATTCACACAACCTGCAGATCTTATCAAAACTCTTAGAAATCGCCACTCGAGCGGCTAATCCATATCTCTGGCTACAGAATCTTTATTATTCATTTGAATACAAAACTGGGTACTATTTATTTCATCACATAAGGACTGCAAAAATAATGCATGCAGAAGAAAACAGCAAATCACAACTTGTTCAGGCACAACAACAACAATGGACCAGAAACTAGACTAGATAGATCATTTACCAGTAATTCTCTGCAACACAGTATTGTTGAATTAGCTCTCTAATGCTTATTATAATAAGTGATGCTGATCACAAGGGTATATGTACACTTCTAGTGACAGATCCGCCTATATGGTCGGGGAGAGTTTCTTCAA